TCTTCATGATAATTACTGAAAGCGATATTTAATAAAGTTATAAAAATTACCTGATCTTTTCACAACGGATACATACTATCGAACGAGATTTTCTCGTGATTGATTCGATGCAGCTAAAATTTGCTCTTCTGTCGACATAATCGAAACAATTATTTATTATTTTGTAATGTATATAACAAAGTTTTGGAAGAAATAACAACGTTTGATATACACAATTTGTAACGAACAGTCACTGCTGCTGCAAAACAAACTGATTAACTAACTGAAGAAAACAACGAACTAAATTGGTATTTATACGTAGAGATAAAAATGTTTCTATCTCTTCTTCTCCATAGAGTGTTACGTATCTTACTAAAGGAGTATAAACAAGAAGAAGATAAATCTGTGTCAAATAAAGAACACAACTAAAGAACGTTTCATCACATGCTCCCAAGAACACAATCAAGATAAGAGGTGACCTTTCATCAGAATGAAAGTACATGTAAATAAATTGAATTACTTTCTTGATAAAAATACATGATGAAGAAGTCGATGTTGTGACAAAATAAAACGACTAAACGAGCATTGATACCAGCTGTAGTTTTAGTGGCACCCTATCGACCATCAACTTGAAATTCAAACTAAACAAATATATTAGTTCTCATTGACAACTCGCTAGTATTTCTATTTTAACCTTTCAATTATAATAATTAAAATAAATAAGTGGTTGATTGACTTGTAAAACAGATATGACTATGAATGTATTAGATCGCTTTCGTTAACTGTTAAAGGGGCTGAGTGCATAGAAAGCAGACAAACATTCTTCGTTATAGATAATAGTGTTTTTAAAAAAATGAAGTTCGTTCTGTTCTTTTAGGAAAAAGTCAATCAATCATCTATACATGCTGTATTTGTTCTCTGTCAGGTTAAATACATAGCAAAACAGGTAACCATTTTTGAATTGTAATAATAAAAAAATATTGAAGAAAAAGTTATTTGACATCAATAAACATAACAATAAGAAATAGTTTTCGCGAAAGATGGTCATATTTTCTTTTTAAGTATTTCTTACTGTTATAAACTATCGTTTATTGTGATTATAAGTACAAAATGATCATATACGTATGAGAAAAAGAAAGTCATTTGTTTGAATTTGAATATCTATCGAATATGCGACATCGAATTTCTTTTTTTTTCACAATTATTATGATCATTGCTGTCATAAAATTAAATTCACAAAACATTAGTTCAGTGTTATTATCTGAAATGAGTGACGTTCGATATAAATATACTGGTTTCAGTGCTTTGATTTCAAAGATCATTGCTGGATCAAATCAATAATCCATGTAAAATATTTCCTGATATTCTAAATCAATTCTGAAGAGTAATGGCACAGAAAGAATTTCTAAGTTTCATTGAAACTAATCGACAATTATCAGCTTGTGACTAAATAGTGAACATATCCGTGTATCAAAATTTGTATAATCAACGTTAAAATAAATTCTCTTTGGTTTATCATCTTATTCCATTTGTGGATTTCTTTTCACTACTTAAATTTATTTGTCTGTTTGTTTATCATAGGAATGAAAACAACCATAACAACATCCACGCAAGTTCAGATGGCATATTAAATAAAGGAATAAAACATTCCATGATGTAGATTATTACAATTAGCTTGAAAGGATTTCTAAGAATAAGTAGTGAGGCGATGGAAGTTGCGTGTATGTGTTACTGCATCCCTATTTTTGTGGCAATATATATATATGTCGTAGGACAAATTAAAATTTTAACATTGATATTTTGATTCTTCCTAGCTGTTTTTGGGAATATTTTAAATATTCCAGAATTTGAATTTGTCCTGCAACATCTATCTATAGATTCAAAGTATTGTTGAATGAACTGTTTCTGTTGTACGTGATAAAGTTAATTGAATACATTAGTCTTCTTTTCGGTGATGACCTTTCTTGCAAAATCCAACCATTCTTGAGCTATCGTTTTGGATCATTTGCATGTGAATTTGCTAATTCCGTTTTATGACCACTGGAATGATTTTTTCCTGATACAGCACAATATAAATTGGTTCAAGCACCTTCGAGTAGTGTTTTAAGAAGAAGTGATCGAAAAGGAGCAAACGATATGTTAGCTAAAAACTTTTTTATTAAGTATCTCCCGTCGATGAAAATTACACCAATCCACTCAGAATTTAATTCTGCATCGAATGGTGTAGTTTTCATCGACGGGAGATACTTAGTAAAAAATTTTTTAGCTAAATTATCCTTTGTTCGTGCTCGCTTCACACCGATGAGCAAACGCTAGTTGTGACACGGATATATGTCGTTGTAGTCCTGCATCAACTCCATCAGAATATAGGATGTATGCATTCAGGCCTCGTGAATGGAAACGACGCTGTAACTCATGAATAAACAATATTCGCCGTTTCGCTTAGAGTATATGCATTCCAAGGTGTACACGTTTCTTTGTTCAGCTGCTCGTATACGTATCAGATGTACATGATTTCCTCCACTGGAAGTGGGGGAGGGGTCATGTCAAAAAACAAAATTGGCAAAAAGAGGGAATTCGTTTCTCTGTGTATGTATGTGTCCGTCGCAAGTCAAAGTTCAACGTGATAAACCAAAACTGTTATTTCACGGGCGGGCCAGAGGTCAAAGATGAATGCTCAAAGATCTTAGATTAAAGATGAAAAGTAAAAAAAAACATTTTCCCGAAATTCTTCAGAAAACAAAGTTGTGTCATTTGGGAGGGATATATTATTTCGATTTTGTAGAGGCATCACATCGCACGAGTTCCTCCAAAGAGCCATGGCAGAGAGGTAATAATTTATTGGTGATGTCTTGATTTCTCACTGATGCCCTCGACTGAAAGGAGTATCACATCAAATTAAAGTGACGGAAAAGTCTAATATACCTCTGTTTGTCGGTCGGAGGTCGTATTGTATTTCTTTATAGGCTATGGTAGTATTTTTGAGTGCTCAAGTTCTATATCACGAATGCCTTTTCATTCTCCAGAGAAAGTGAAAAAAGTTACTTCGTTAGCGCTAATAAAACGTGAACCTCATACAGTGCAGGTTCTTTTGACACTTGTATGTTGCTCTAACCCTTTCAGAACGGGTGATCACTATAATGACTGCTGGTTATTAATGGATAGAGGAACGTTTTTCACTAAGAATTACAGGGCTAGAAATAATATTATTCCAGGGGGAAGGGTTACGCTACAATTCTGAATACCAACCCTAATGAATTTTATACCAAACAGAAGTCCGTAAAAAGACGGTTTCCTGATCCTAAATTACAAGGATTTTTACAACAAGTAGCGCTCGCCGTGCCGACTCACTTAACCCTCGACTGTGGAGGATAGATTTTTTTTTTCGTGTCCCGATTGTGAGACTAATTCAATTACCAATTTCATATACGAACAAACAACTCAAATGTTTTGCGCAGCTATATTTAGTAACTTTCGAAAACAAAATACTGAATTTTCCTTACACTTTTTGAAGAGGCATATAAAAACCTCAATTTTATACTACCAATGCAATAAGAAGAAAGAAACGATGACGCAATACAATAAGCACTAGGGCCACTTCAATCGAAAAACATCACAACTATACACAAGAGTCAAAAATATAGAACGTCAAACATCGATCTTAGTCTGCTCTAAGTCAAGGTCACTTTCCAGGCATCCTCACCCTCATCTGCATATTTCAGCCCATCAACTTCACTACCACGAGACCACACGCTATTCCATCCAGAAATAGGCAACTCCGCGAAAAAGCAACCCTAACTTCGATTTATGAATCCAACTGGAACAGACACTCAACTACAAAAGAATATTTTTAACATTAATCCAAATTTACTACGAACACCAACCATAATTATCACTTACTCGCAGCAGTTTTATTTCTTTGTCGTTGTAAAATGCCCATATACTTAATAGGTTTAAGTCAATCGATTAGGATTACATTTGACCCATATGATTTTAGCTAATGTATCTTTTGATATCTCTATTTTTCGCTTTCACTACATTTAGCTACGGTAATACATACGATTATTTGTCGTTCTTCTATTACTTCTAAGATCACTTACAGTTGAATAAAAGCTGAAACACTCTAGCCACTCCAGCTGCCCTTTGACACTCTCCTAGCCATCCTAGCTTCACATCAGCTTCATATTCCATTAAAAACAAATCGACAAGAGCTGAACACCAAACCTGCATAAAATTCTCAAATCAGGGAGCACAACCGCCGATCACCGACTCCAATCACCCACCCTCAAACTTGATCTAATTAACCGTTTCTTGCCTTTCGATAAACTTAATGATTTGAGAGGAGAATTCCTACACCAACATTACTCTTGTGGCCCTTGATATACGTAGAAAAAGATTAAACTAAATTCATTAGATGTCTATTTATTGAGCATAAGACACATAGGTTACTTTACATTGACAGGAATTTTTTAGGTTTACGGCAAAGTAGGAAAAACAAAAAAAGTAATTAGGGGTAAAGGTTAGACTTCGATTTTTGTTAGACAATTCATGATAGTTACTCTTAAATGTGATATAAGGTTCCTCGTTAAAATCCCTCCAGCCCAAAAAATCAAATTTTTATAAAGTGGGCGCGACAGCGCCCAAATGGCAAGAATGGGTTAATGTATATGAGTCAATACACCAAATATGCATTTTACACATCATTTTTCATGATTTTTCAGAAAAGTTCTGATATTTTTAATTAAAAGAAAAACTTTCTGGCTTTGACGTCATATGAACTTCGTCTTAATTAACAAATTTCGTATTTAAATATGAATCCGTAGGCAACATTTCATAAAATTTAATCCGATCTATAGATATATGAATCAAATTTAGTATCATCTGTCATACTCCAGTAACATGAAATATTACGATAATCCTGAATTAAAGTACATTGGTATGGAAATGACAGACTCATGTTATTAACATCTCTGTATAAAACAAAAGATGAAAATGGAAGCTCATCATTTTCATACTTTGTAATGTCGGGTTCAGCAGATAAAGAAGAAATTCTTCGTCTTCAATCAATTGCCAATTTTCTCGACGGTTATGCTATACTCGGTCTCATTATCATTGGAACAATAGGAAATCTAATGAACATCATTGTTTTTCTTCGACATAAAAAACTCCGTCAAATGACAAATTTCATTTTCTTGATTATGTTTTTCTTCAGTAATCTAATATCTTTATGGTCAACTCGTTTTCCACGTAGTATACTTGCAATAACGAGCACTGATTTATTAATTGGCAACATAGTTTATTGCAAAATTCGATGGTTATTTGGACGTTGGAGTTTCTATATGTCATACATTTATCTTTGTTTATCCTGTATTGATCGATATTTAAATACTTCACGTCATGAACGACTTCGACGTATGATGACATTCAAACGAGCTGTTGTTATTACAATTACAATTAGTTTGATTTATTTTATCATCTTTATTCCTGATGGAATTTACTATTCAGGAAGTCGGTGTACTGCGTCAAGTAGTGACCGTGAGATTTACAAACAATTTCTTAATTATTTTAATTTAGTTATGTGTAGTAGTGTTCCAATGGTTATTTTATATACTTTTTCTCTATTAACATGGTATAATCTTTATACAACACGAAATATTTCACATAGTAAACTTCATCGGCAAGTTAATCATATGATGATAGTCGAATTTACTGTTATATTTCTTGGTGCAACACCAAATTTTGTATTTAGTATTTATACAGAAATTAGTCAATCAATGATTAAATCTAGTTTAAGAATGGCACAAGAAACAGTTGTGAGATATGTATGTGTTATTTGCAGTTTCTTATTATATGTGGGAACATTTTATATCTATATGATCATGTCAAGTGTATATAGACAAAATGTAAAAGCAGCGATCTGTTTTAGAAAACCGAATCAAATTGGAACACATACACTCACTTTGAAAAATATAAAAACTACTCATTAAATATCAAATACTTGTTTCTGCTTTTGATGTTTGAAATGAATGTATATATCTTTAATTATTGTTTTAATAGAAAGTTCATTGTTTGAAGTGAATTTTTTTCAAGCAAATAAATTCAAATTGCAACCTAATCTTTGTTAGTACTATATTTCAATGAATATAAATACAAATAAAACCTAACATCTCTAGTTAAAATATTTATGTGATAAACGTTTTCTACTTCATACTATCTAACGAGGGAATCTCACCAACTGATGTCTTCCATTTCAACTCATATTTGGCTCATAGGTAGGGTTCATAGTATAGATGAAAGTCCTAAAAGGATGACAGGCCAACCCAAAAGTAGTGAGAAAAATATCTTATTTGGCTAAACAAACGTCGAGGAAAATTTGTTTATGATGGTAAAGTTGCTGGTCTGAGTACATGTCGAACAATGGTCAAAACTGTTTCGTAACGGTCGAGATGAAATTGAAGATAAAGTACAGCCTGGTAGACCTATTAGTGAAACAACAGCTGAAGATATCGATTACATTCACCTTCTTATCGATGATGATCCATACACTATTAATTCAATTGTCCACCCCTGCTAAGAATTATAAGAAGATTCTATTGATTTCAACACCATAGAACCAAATATCTCCCGCTTGCTTTTATTTCGAAAACGTTTTTCACGCTAGTCATATTCTTCATTCTTTTCGAACAACGTTGTTACTCATACACTAATAGATATATGCATATCATGAAAAATGGTTTACCTATAGTATTTTTTAGTTTTTCTCTAACCGAAATAGTTTCATCTTCAGAGAGGCGGCGTATAGTCGTTTTTGCGAAAACGCTATACACGTGTAATACTTTTTCATTTCTCATAACCAATATGGCCCATTTCGATCAAGGTAATACGCACTTACTATGGCGAAAACGCTTTTTCATCTCCATAATACACTTTCATTTTCTCGTAACAAAAGTGGTAAAGTCAAACTATAACGTAAGATCGTATTGTAGCCAGACAGTTCGGTGAGTATTTATGACTACCAAAATGAAATCTTTATTTCATTAATACAGAATATCTTCCATGTTTACTAAATGGAACTTTTCTCCAAAATGATTTAGATAGATTTTTATCGAATCAATTGTGAAAAATCTATTTAATCCCGTGATGAAAAAGATTTGTGTATCAGTGCGTAAATCCTTTTCAGATTCGAAACAACTCTTTTTTAATAGTAGTAGTGATAAATAAAATTGACACTACGTAATGATAGAAAATTATATAGTGGAAATCAGACTTTTCGTAAGAATAATTGTGTTAGATGGAGCTTTTGCGAGAATTTCATCTCATCTCATTTCTTACAACTATCACGTATAGTTCAGGTGGAAAATATGTATACATTGATAATACTACGCCTTCATTTATTTATCTCTCTCAAGTATTGCATCGCTCCGATACAAAACACACGTTTATGCACACGTCAATCAATAGGAGGAGAGAAAAATAATACTAAAGTACATTAAATCACACTGAAGAAAGTACAAATATCATGCGCCAAGCGCATGTAGACAAGAGCATCATTAGGCGGTTGAAATTAAATTAAATCTTTTGTCAAGATTTAGTTTGTAGATTATATAGAATCGATGTCAAGCCTAAAGTTTATAAAGATGTAGAGATGGTAAGTAGTATTCAATAGAAACTGATAGATTATGCATTTCGAATTATGGTTCGAATGATTTTTTCGCAAAAATATATGCACTTTTTTTATAGTTAACTCATAGTTAAGTTTCAGCCAGTCAAAATAGTTTTTCGTTCATATCAGTCTACGAACATAGAGTGAAGCAGTGCGACGATCAAATAGTTTTGTATTATCTATAATTTCTTGGGTCTACATCCAGTCACTCGCTCTGTAGATTACTTTCATCCTTACATTCCAACATTCAAATGCATCATCTCTAGAGTATACTTATTATCTACGTCCAGTTCTGTTGGTTCTTTGGATAAATCTAACGTAAAGTAGTGGTCGAATTTTTCTCATACCTCAATGAGCATATCAATGCAGGAGAAAAACAGTGTTTTTGATCTTGTGTCCAGTTACAAGCAAATGTTCACTGAATAAAAAAGCTGCTTGAAGCATAAGTTTCTTTAATGCGTTTACGATGTTTGATAGACTATACTATTTGTGAATTTTTTACCTTTTACCCACATCTTTAATATGTTTCATTGTTTATTCTTGTATTTACACGTACGGCAAATCTTTTAGATGTCTTCTAATATAGAAGGAAACGATGCGATTAATAATGATTCGATCGGTAATCACAAGAGTGCCTCAAATGACTCAACTATCAATCAACAATTAATAGATAGTCATTGCCATGTACAGGACGAAGCATTTGACCATAGTGCACGGAATCGTCTTGTTGCAGTGCTTTTTGTTTGTTCAATATTTCTGATTATTGAACTTATTGGTATGTTTGTTTATTTTCTACGAATTTCAATGAAAAAAAAACAACAGAAATTTTTAATTTGTCTAGGCGGTTTTCTTTCAAATTCAACTGCTGTTATGACAGATGCAGCTCATATGGCTATTGATCTCGGTAGTTTTCTCATATCATTAACAGCTATGTATCTTGGAACAAAGCGACCAACACGAAAACTTTCGTATGCATATGCTAGAGCAGGTTATTTTATTAACTATAGCTGATTTCCTTGACTATTTAATGATCGGATATTTTCTCTTCAGACGTACTTGGAGCACTCATCAGTATACAAGCTATTTGGATAGTTACCACTATACTTGTCTATATAGCCGTAAACCGATGCATCCATCAAAATTTTGAGGTACATCCNATTTATACGTAGAGAGTGTTACGTATCTTATCTTACTAAAAGAGTATACAAAAGAAGAAGAAAAATCTGTGTCAAATAAAGAACATCACTAAAGAACGTTTCATCACCCGCTCCCAAGAATGCAATCAAGATAAGAGGTGACCTTTCATTGGAATGAAAGTACATGTAAATAAATTGAATTACTTTCTTGATAAAAATACATGATGAAGAAGTCGATGTTGTGGCAAAATAAAACGACTAAACGAGCATTGACAACAACTGTAGTTGTAATGGCAGCCTACCGACCATCAACTTGAAATTGAAACTAAACAAATATATTAGCTCTCATTGACAACTCGCTAGTATTTCTATCTTAACCTTTCAATTACAATAATTAAAATAAATAAGTGGTTGATTGACTTGTAAAACAGATATGACTATGAATGTATTCGATCACTTTTGCTAACTATTAAAGGGACTGAGTGCATAGAAAGCAGACAAACATTCTTCTTTATAGATAATAATGTTTTTAAAAAAAGCCAATCAATCACTCATACATGCTGTATTTGTTCTCTGTCAGATTAAAAATATAACAAAACAAGAAGCATTTTTGAATTGTAATAATAAGAAAAATTTATTTGACATCAATAAACATGCCAATAAAACATAGTTGTCGCGAAAGATGGTTATATTTTCTTTTTAAGTCTTTCTTACTATTATCAACTATCGTTTATTGTGATTATAAGTACAAAATGATCATATATGTGACATCGAATTTCATTTTTGTTCACAATCATCATGATCATAGCTGTCATAAAATTAGATTTACAAAACATTATTTCAGTATTATTATCTGAAATGAGTGACATTCGATATAGATATACAATGATTATCGTACAATAAAATTTGATCAAATCCATAATCAATATAAAATATTTCCTGATATTCTAAATCAATTCTGATGCGTAATGGCATAGAAAGAATTTCTAACTTTCATTGAAATTAATCGACAATTATTAGCTTGTGGCTAAATATTGAACATATCCGTGTGTCAAAAATTTTTTGTATAATCAACGTTAAAATATATTTGCTTTGGTTTATCATCTTGTTACTACTGAAAGTTATTTCTCTATTCAATTGCCGCAGCGATGAAAACAAGCATATCAACAACCACACAAGTTCAGATGGCATATAAAATAGGAATAAAACATTCCATGACGTAGATTATTGCAACTAGCTTGAAAGGATTTCAATATGATTTTAAGAATGAGTATACTAAGGCGATGGAAGTTGCGTATATGTCGCAGGACAAATTACAATTTTAGCATTGATATTTCGATTCTTCCTAGCTGTTTTTAGGAATGTTGTAAATTTTCCAAAGTTTTAATTTGTCCTGCAACATCTATCTATAGATTCAAAGTGTTGTTGAATGAACTGTTTCTGTTGTATGTACTATAGTTACATTGAATACATTAGTCTTCTTTTCGGTGATGACCTTTCTTGAGCTATCGTTTTGAATCATTTGCATGTGAATTTGCTAATTCCGTTTTATGACAGCTGGAATGATTTTTTCCTGATACAGCGCAATATAAATTGATTCAAGCATCTTCGAGTAGTGTTTTAAGAAGAATTGATCGAAAAGGAGCAAACGCTAATTATGACATGGATATATGTCGTTGTAGTCTTGCATCAACTCCGCAAGAATATAGGATATATGCATTCAGGCCTCGTGAATGGAAACGACGCTGTAACTCATGAGTAAACAATATTCGCGGTTTCGTTTAGAGAATATGCATTCCAAGGTGCACACGTTTCTTTGTTCAGTTGCTCATATGCGTATCAGATGTACATGATACTTGCCACTTGAGGGTGTGGTAATAATGAAGCATTAACAACACATGATTTAAATCTAAGTAGTTTAGGTAAATAAAAATGACCAAAATGATCGGCACCTATTTGCATTTCAAAACCATCTTTGGCAAGTGCGTATGAGCTAGCCGTAACTCCTGTATAGTTAATCAAAGCAGTGTTGGAGACATCGCGATAAAGAAAAACTATGCATTTGCTATTAAATATTAATTCATGATAAAATACTTCCGCTCCTTCAGTTTTTAAAATTTTTTCAATACTAAATCCAAGTGCACGCCAATCACTTAAGTCGATTGGATAACCGCTAAGAAGTTTGGTAGCTCGTGTAACTTTTTAAGCATGATTTATAGTTTCTTGTAAGTTACTAGGTCGTACAAATCATACAACTGTAGCACCGAGTCTAGCTAATTGAGGAGCTGTTTGCTTTCCAGTACCACCTGCAGCATTGGCGAATAGATGGTTTTGTCCACTGAGATCCTTTGTTTTCGAAGCATCACGTTGACCAGCACGAGCAATCCATCGTACAAGAATGTAAATACCAAGAAAGCAGATTTCAGTAAATGAATAAATACGATGATCGAATACATGATAAAATATCTAAAAAATAGTGATCGATGCAAAGAACGTGACCAAAACTTTGACTTCTGATTGACAAAGAAAGCAAAGCGAAATTGAGTATTTTTTATCATTCAAATATGTAAAATCTCGCTAGAAATATTTGTGCAACCATAGATTTTACATCATCATCGCACAAACCATGCTTATAATTTTAGTCAAATATGGGAATGAAAGTCATCGAGTCGAATCAATGTATGGGGCGACACTCTATAATGTAACTTTTTCTAAATTGTCCTTTCTATTACCGAGCCCTTTGATGAATGTTTTCGTAAAAATACCCGAAGTGTATGATTGTATATAAATAAATCCATGTTATGATATTATTTCCTCCACTGAAAGTGGGGAGAGAGTCATGTCAAAAGCAAAATTAGCAAAAAGCAGGAATTTGTTTCTCTCATGTGTATGTATGTGTCTGTCGCAAGTCAAAAATCAACGTGATAAAACCAAAACTGTTATTTCAAGACTGGACCAGAGGTCAAAGATGAAAAGCCAAAAAAAACATTTTCCCGAAATCCTTCAGAAAACAAAGTTGTATGATTTGGGAGGGATATATTATTTCGATTTCGTAGAGGCATTACATCGCACGAGTTCCTCCAATCTCCAAAGAGCTATGGTAGAGGAGCAATAATTTATTGGCGATGCCTTGATTCCTTACTGATGCCCTCGACTGAGAGGACGGTCAGATCAAACTAAAGTGACGGAAAAGTCTAATACACCTTTGTTTGTCGGTCGGAGATTGTATTGTATTCCTTGTTCTTCTGACGCTTGTATTTTGCTTTAATCCTTTCAGGGCGAATGATCACTATAATGACCGCTGCTTATTAATGGATCGAGGAACGTTTTTCGTTAAGAATTACAGGGAGGAGGGTTACACTACAATTCTGAATACCAACCCTAATGAATTGTATACCAAACAGAAGTTCATACAATTTTTTTATATGAAGTACGCAAAAAGTGGTATATCAGGCAAAACTTGATCTAATTAAACGGTTCTTGCCTTTCGATAAACTTTATGCTTTGAGAGGAGAATTCCCACACCAACATTACTCTTATGGCCCCTGATATACGTAGAAAAAGATTAAACTAAATTCATTAGATGTCTGTTTATTGAGCATAAGACATATAGGTTACTTTACATTGACAGAAATTTTTGAGGTTTACGACAAAGTAGGAAAAACATTAAAAAAAGAAATCAGAGGTAAAGGTTAGACTTCGATTTTTGTTAGACAATTCATGATAATTACTCTTAAAAGTGGTATAAGCTTCCTCGCTAAAAGCCCTCTAGTTCAAAAAAATCAAATTTTTATAAAGTGGACTCGACAGCGCCCAAATGGCAAGAATCGGTTAATGTATATTAGTGAATACACCAAATATTCATTTTAAACATAAATTTTCATGATTTTTCAGAAAAGTTCTGATATTTTTAATTAAAATAAAAACTTTCTGGCTTTGACGCTATATGAACTTCGTCTTAATTAACAAATTTCGTATTTAAATATGAGTCCGTAGGCAACATTTCATAAAATTTAATCCGATCTATAGATATATGAATAAAATTTAGCATCATCTGTCATACTCCAGTAACATGAAATATTACGATGATTCTGGATTAAACTACATTAGTATGGAAATGACAGACTCATGTTATTAACATCTCGGTATAAAACAAAAGATGAAAATGGAAGTTCATCATTTTCATACTTTGTAATGTCGGGTTCAGCAGATAAAGAAGAAATTCTTCGTCTTCAATCAATTGCCAATTTTCTCGATGGTTATGCTATACTCGGTCTCATTATCATTGGAACAATAGGAAACCTAATGAACATCATTGTTTTTCTTCGACATAAAAAACTCCGTCAAATGTCAAATTTCATTTTCTTGATTATGTTTTTCTTCAGTAATTTAATATCTTTATGGTCAACTCGTTTTCCACGTAGTATACTTGCAATAACGAGCACGGATCTATTAATTGGCAACATAGTTTATTGCAAAATTCGATGGTTATTTGGACGTTGGAGTTTCTATATGTCATACATTTAGCTTTGTTTATCCTGTATTGATCGATATTTAAATACTTCACGTCATGAACGACTTCGACGAATGATGACATTCAAACGAGCTGTTGTTATTACAATTGCAATTAGTTTGATTTATTTTATTATCTTTATTCCTGATGGAATTTATTATTCAGGAAGTCGGTGTACTGCGTCAAGTAGTGACCGTGAGATTTACAAACAATTTCTTAATTATTTTAATTTAGTTATGTGTAGTAGTGTTCCAATGGTTATTTTATATACTTTTTCTCTATTAACATGGTATAATCTTTATACAACACGAAATATTTCTCATAGTAAACTTTATCGACAAGTTAATCTTATGATGATAGTCGAATTTACTGTTATATTTCTTGGTGCAACACCAAATTTTGTATTTAGTATTTATACAGAAATTACTCAATCAATGATTAAATCTGGTTTAAGAGTAGCACAAGAAACAGTTGTGAGATATGTATGTGTTATTTGCAGTTTCTTATTATATGTGGGAACATTTTATATTTATATCATCATGTCAAGTGTATATAGACAAAATGTAAAAGCAGCTATCTGTTTTAGAAAACCGAATCAAATTGGAACACATACACTCACTTTGAAAAATATAAAAACTACCCATTAAATATCAAACACTTGTTTCTACTTTTGACCTTTGAAATGAATGTATATATCTTTAATTATTGTTTTAATAGAAAGTTCATTATTCGAAGTGATTTTTTTTCAAACAAATAAATCCAAATTGTAACCTGATCTTTGTTAGTACTACATTTCAATGAATATAAATACAAATAAAACCTAACATCTCTATTTAAAATATTTACGTGATAAACGTTTTCTACTTTATACTATCTAACGAGGTAACTTCACCAACTGATATCTTCCGTTTCAACTCATATTTTATTCATAGATAGAGCGTGTTGCGCTCTATTTAGCCATTGTATTTTGATAAGTCATCGTTTTCTCCTACATTAGTTCAATTTTGTGAAAAAATACTTTTGCCCACAACTCGCTGGAATTACCTATGAGGAATTGACATTTGTTTATGATGATAAAGTTGCTGCTCTGAGTACATGTCGAAAAATAGTCAAAACTGTTTCGTAACGGTCGAGAAGAAATTGTAGATAAAGTAGGGCCTGGTAGACCTATTAGTGAAACAACAACTGAAGATATCGATTACATTCACCTTCTTATCGACGATGATCCACACACTATTAATTCAAATTTCTCCCCCCCCCCCCCCTACTAAGAATTATAAGGAGATTCTATTGATTTCAACACCTTAGAACCAAATATCTCCCGCTTGCTTTTATTTCGAAAAAGTTTTTCGCGCTAGTGATATCCTTCATTCTTTTCGAACAACATTGTTACTCATACACTAATAGATGTATACATATCATGAAAAATGGTTTACCTACAGTATTTTTTACTTTTTTCTCTAACCGAAGTAGTTTCATCTTCAGAGAGGCGACGTATAGTTGTTTTTGCGAAAACGCTATACACGTGTAATACTTTTTTCATTTCTCATAATCAATATGGCTCATTTTCGATCAAGGTAAGACGCACTTGCTATGGCGAAAACGCTTTTTCATCTCCATAATACATTTTCATTTTCTCGTAACAAAAGTGGTAAAGTCTGACTATAACGTAAGATCGTATTGTAGTCAGACAGTTCGATGAATATTTATCACTACCAAAATGAACTCTTTACTTCATTAATACAGAATATCTTCCATGTTTACTAAAAAGAACTTTTCTCTAAAAGAATTGAGATAGATTTTTATCGAACCAATTGTGAAAAACCTATTTAATTATGTGATGAAAAAGGTTTGGGTATCAGTGCGTAGATCCTTTTCGGGTTCGCTACAACTCTTTTTTACAATAGTAGTCATAAATAAAATTGACACGACGTAATGATAGAAAATTATATAGTGGAAATCAGACTTTCAATAAAGATAATTGTGTTAGATGCAGTTTTGCGAGAATTTCATTTCATTTCATTTCTTACAACCATCACGTATAGTTCAGATGAAAAATATGTATTCGTTGCTAATACTACGCCTTCATTTATTTATTTCTCGCAATAATTGCATCGCTTCGATACAAAACACACGTCCATCTAAACGTCGATGAATAGAAGCAGAGAAAAATAATACCAAAGTACAAATATCATGTGTCAAGCGCATGTAGACAAGAGCATCATAAGGCGATTGAAATCAAATAAAATCTTTTGTAAATATTTAGTTTGCAGATTATATAGAATAGATATCAAGCCTAAAGTTTATAAAGATGCAAAGATAGCAAGTGGTGTTCAATATAAACTGATAGGTTATGCATTCCGAATTCTTTAGAATTATTTAATTATGCTACGAATAACTTTTCTCAAAAATATATGCGCTTGTTTTTATAGTTAACTGATTGTTAAGTTTCAGCCAGTCAAAATAGTTTTTTGTTCATATCAGCCTACGAACATAGAGTGAAGCAATGTGACGATCAAATAGTTTTGTATTATCTATAATTTCTTGGGCCTATATCTAGTCAGTCGCTCTGTAGATTACTTTCACCCTCACACTCTAACATTCAAATGCATCATCTCTAGAGTATACTTATTATCTACGTCCAGTTCTGTTGGTTCTTTGCATAAATCTAACGTAAAGTAGTACTCGAATTTTACTTATACCCCAATGAGCATAACAATGTAGGGAAAAATAGTGTTTTTGATTTTGTGTCCAGTTACAAACAAATGGTCACTGAATAAAAAAGCTGCTTGAAGCATAAGTTTCTTTAATGTGTTTAGGATGTTTGATAGACTATACTGTTTGTGAATTGTTTACCTTTTACCCACATCTTTAATATGTTTCATTGTTTATTCTTGTATTTATATGTACGGTATATCTTTTAGATGACTTCTAATATAGAAGAAAACGATGCGATTAATAATAATTCGATGGGTAATCAGAAGAGTGCCTCAAATGACTCAACTATCAATCCACAATTAATAGATAGTCATTGTCATGTACAGGACGAAGCATTTGATCATAGTGCACGAAATCGTCTTGTTGCAGTGCTTTTTGTTTGTTCAATATTTCTGATTATTGAACTTATTGGTATGTTTGTTTATTTTCTACGAATTTCAACGAAAGAAAAAACAGAAATTTTTAATTTGTGTAGGCGGTTTTCTTTCAAACTCTACTGCTGTTATGACAGATGCAGCTCATATGGCTATTGATCTCGGTAGTTTTCTCATATCATTAACAGCTATGTATCTTGGAACAAAGCGACCACCACGAAAACTTTCATATGCATATGCTAGAGCAGGTTATTTTATTAAATGTAGCTGATTTCGTTAACTGTTTAATGATCGAAGATTTTTTCTTCAGACGTACTTGGAGCACTCATCAGTATACAAGCTATTTGGATAGTCACCACTATACTTGTCTATACAGCCGTAAGACGATGCATTCATCAAAATTTTGAAGTATATGCTAATGAAATGATTACCGTATCAGCATTGGGTGTTCTCTTTAATATCATGTAAGTGTAATGGAACGTGGACATTTGAGTATTTCCATCGGAAAAAAGCGACAAGAACACTTCGAACTTTGCAAACGAGCGAAATCTATTTTAACCTATAGGTTTATAGGAGCTATAATCACAGTCTTATCCTTTTCTCGAAAGAAACCCCAATGCAATATCCATTTTATAGATGTAACTTATTTGTTATTCTGATTTTGTTTGATAGAATGTATTTCGTTTTACATGGAAATGCGCTTGGAAAATTGATGCCACATGGACATTCACATGATGACAAATACGAAGACATAGAACGTCTTAATAATGATATATCATCGGACGTAAATAGCAACATTAACAACAATATCAATATACGAGCTGCTATGATACATATTATTGGGGATTTTATTCAAAGTGTTGGTGTTCTTATTGCTGCTATACTTATCAAAATAAATGTATATTAAGTATAATATTAAAAACATATAGCATGTTTGATAAATATTTCATATTTTCTAGCCAGATTATAAATTAGCTGATCCAATATGTACTTTTATTTTTTCTATACTAGTTATTTTTACGACAGTAACTATTATGCGTGAGATCGTTATTGTGCTTATGGAGGGTATAAGCTAAATGATAATTTTTGCTCTTATTTATCACCACATGTTCTATTAGGAGTTCCTGACGGTGTTGATTATCAAAAGATTGTTGATGATCTTTGTGCAATTCCTGGAGTGCGCAACACACATAGTTTACATGTCTGGTCACTATCTTTAAACAAAACAGCTTTGTCTGTTCATATTGCAACAGGTTAGAAATCTTTCTGCTGAAAATTTATGTGTACATACATAAATATCTTATTTTTAGATAACAGTGAAGATGCTATGACAATATTGAACGAAGCTCAAACATTACTTCGTCGTGAGCATTCTATCAACCGAACAACGATACAAGTCGAACTATATAATAAAGCTATTATAAATTCATGTGACAATTGTCGAGGCCCAGGATCTTGAACTGAGCATTCTTGTCATCTAATATTTCTATTCAAATTCTTTTTCAATAACATTTCTTCATTTTAATATCATCCTTTTAATACTGATAGTTACTCTCTCAAGTTCTTTCAACATCATCTAATAAAATACATTAGTTTTGTGATGCATTCATTAAAATGAGGAAGAGACTACCAATCGTTTTAAAATTCTTGTTAAGTTGCTAGAAAACAAATTATAAGTAAATATAAAAAGCTATTTTAATCGAAACTTATAGTTTGATGTATTTTTAAAAACGAGTCATCAGAGTTGGCAATTATTATAAGATAAGAAAGGGAAGATATAGAGAATTGTATATGACAGACGGTTACACGCTGTAATTCGTATATAGACATTATCCATAGCTCTTTCATGTACGTATTTTGATTTTATATAAAATTATGATTGAGATCAGCGTACCTTCTAAACGCATATGATATTGAGACCCAAGCGGTTGTAATTATTAGGTTGTCAACAAAGTTCTTGCGTTTTTTTTCAAAAATTTTATTTTTATTTTTTCACTTCAAAAGTACAACTTGACAAGTTCCGTTTTGACGTCGCTATCGTCCTTGAACTGTTTATCACGTAGATCATTCGAAAGAGAACGAAACAAATGGTAGTCTGTTGANTGATACATATTATTGGGGATTTTATTCAAAGTGTTGGTGTTCTTATTGCTGCTATACTTATCAAAATAAATGTATATTAAGTATAATATTAAAAACATATAGCATGTTTGATAAATATTTCATATTTTCTAGCCAGATTATAAATTAGCTGATCCGATATGTACTTTTATCTTTTCTATATTAGTTATTTTTACGACCGTAACTATTATGCGTGAGATCGTTATCGTGCTTATGGAGGGTATAATCTAAATGATAATTTTTGCTCTTATCTGTCACCATATGTTCTATTAGGAGTTCCTGACGGTGTTGATTATCAAAAGATTGTTGATGATCTTTGTGCAATTTCTGGAGTGTGCAATATACATAGTTTACATGTCTGGTCACTATCTTTAAACAAAACAGCTTTGTCTGTTCATATTGCAGCAGGTTAGAAATCTTTCTGCTTAAAATTTATGTATGCGTATATAAATATATTATTTTTAGATAACACTGAAGATGCTATGACAATATTGAACGAAGCCCAAACATTGCTTCGTCGTGAGCATTCTATCAATCGAACAACGATACAAGTCGAACTATATAATAAAGCTATTATAAATTCATGTGACACTTGTCGAGGCCCAGAATCTTAAACTGAGCATTGTTATCATCTAATATTTCTATTCAAATTCTTTTTCAATGACATTTCTTTATTTTAATATCATCCTTTTGATATTAATAGTTTCTCTCTCAAGTTTTTTCAGCATCATCTAATAAAATGCATTAGTTTTGCGATGCATTCATTAAAATGAGGAAGAGACTACCAATCATTTTAAAATCCTTGTTAAGTTGCTAGAAATCATATAGTACCATATGCGTTTCCACACAGTCCGATAGATGCATTAATAACTATTGGATTTTTGCTGTTCCAAATTCATTACGAATATCGCGAAGTGTTTGAACTTCTCGCGTGTTAATATCAATCATATTTTGATCAAGATAACTCAGTTGTCGTATTCAATCGGGATTTGTACGCCATATTGAGCTTTCCAAAATAACTACGACATGACGCTTCCCACTGATTTCAATAAGTTTCTGTAAACACTTTTTAATCAACTGGTTTTCAGAATCTTCTTTTATCACATGAAACGAAGCACAATAAGGAAAGAGCAAATTTTGCTTGATACTTTATACTGGTTTCTAGTCTACTATTAGTTATGAGAAACTACCAGACGTTTCAAGTAACTCAAATAAATATTCTACCATTGTGCTAAAGTATAACTAAAATTAATGATTTTTTTTAGAAAAAAAATTATAATTTAATATAAAAAGCTATTTAAATCGAAACTTATAGTTTGATGTACTTTTAAAAACGAGTCATCAGAGTTGGCAATTATTATCAGAGAAGAAAGAGAAGATATAGAGAATTGTACATAACAAACGGTTACACACTGTAATTCACATATAGACATTATCCATAGCCATTTCATGTACCTATTTCGATTTTATATAAAATTATGATTGAGATCAGCGTACTTTCCTAAACACGCGCGATATTGAGACCGAAGCGGTTGTAATTATTAGGTTATCAACAAAGTTTTGGCGTTTTTTTTCAAAAATTTTATTTTTATTTTTTCACTTCAAAAGTACAACTTGACAAGTTCCGTTTTGACGTCGCTCTCGTCCTTGAACTGTTTATCACGTAGATCATTCGAAAGAGAACGAAACAAATGGTAGTCTGTTGAAGCCAAGTCTGGAGAATAAGGTGGATGAGGAACGGTGATCCAGCCAAGCTTTAATAAGTTTTCACGGGTCGACTTCGCAATATGTGGTGTTGCGTTACCGTGTAAAAAATAAACTCGATCCTGATTTCCCTTGAGTTTTTCCGCTACCCGATCTAATTGTTGACAGTACGGATCAGTAGTGATGGTGTAACCATTTGGTAGAAGTTCCCAATGAACAACTCCTTTAATACCCTACCAGACACTTAGCATCAACTTCTTAGGATGTGGATCAGTCTTCGGTGTTGCTACGCCTGTTTGACCAGTGCTCAACCACTGACGCCCACTTCTCATTGCCAGTAATCAGTTTGGATGGCCATTGATAGTTGCGATGAGATGTGATTAAATTCATACGTGTATCAACTCTCTGTTGCAGTAGATGTGATGATAATTCACGAGGTATTCATATTCCGTATTTCCAGGTCTTGCCTAATTCGTTCAGATGTTTTCCCACCGTAGTATGAGAACATTCAAGCTGCTCTGCTAAAAACCGTAAAGTCAATCGAGGATCTTCTTCGATAAGCGGCTTTAAAGGATCCATATTCACGTTGCGCGGTACGAGCGGAGACTAAACTCTGGTTCATTGTGCTGCATATGTTGTTGGCTGCTTCCGTTGTTTTGGGGCCCAAACGAAATTCGTGAAGTAAAAGTACTCGAATCTCTTTATGAGAAAGATTTATTTTTGGTTCAACATCAACATCCATATCGATGATTTTTTTATCATTTGAAGGACATTCATGTCCTATATATATATATTGTTGGTATGGAAACTTCTAGAACTTTCTAGGTTATTCTATAAGATCTTAGAAAAAAAACGCCAGAACTTTGTTGACAACCCAATATTTCTATGAAACTTACACTCTCACCCTCATCGTCAAATTATACTGTACGAGTATGCCATCTATAATGATTTACGCACGTTATATACAATTATAGACAACCAATCAACGCTATTTAATTGGTTCGGTCTTTTATTGTCAATACAATCGATTATTATATCTCTCCATTGAGAAATATGTTTGTGATTGCTAGTGAATACCATCTTTTTATCACACACAGTTGAGCGAAATCATCTTAAAAAGGTTAAGATCTAATTTCGTTCTCGGTCATATTATGTACTTTTTTAAAATGAAAGAATATTATTCTCATTTACGAGACAAATATAAATTAACAATTAATTTTTTACAAACAAAAGTACGAATATTAAAAACTGAAAGCTACACCTTAGCTTATGCTTATCGATATGAACAAACGCCATGGTATGCTAAAGTATTAATTATTATCACACTTGGTTATTTATTAAGTCCAATCGATTTAATACCTGATTGTATTCCGATTTTTGGCTATCTGGATGATCTGATCATTGTTCCACTTTTGATTATTTTATCAATTAAACTAATACCAAATGACATTTTAATTGAATGTAGACAAAAGGTTCAAGAACAAAATAATACTGTAAGAAAACAGAAAAAAGCTGCAATGTGGTTTGCTGTCTTGATTGTATTTTTCTATATAATAATGATTTACTTCATAACGCATTGGATAAAATTCAAATTCTTCGTATAAAAATATATTGTTCTGTTATGAGCTTCTTCAAAACGATTCATTCATGGATTATTTATTAATACTACAGATAAAATCTGATGTACAATATTCGTTCGCATTAGTTGATGGCGACAGGTGATCCGATTAAAAATATAACTTATGGGATAAAAAAGGAAAGAACGAAAAAAAGTTTGCATGTCATATAGACACTGAGAAAAGTTTCATGTAATCAATATAGTATAGGATTTTTGCTTGATTTGAGTTATTTCATCATTAATTTTCAAGTAACAGATTCTATTTTTCAAAAATCAAAATCAAATCAAAATTTCTCATGAACGTAAAGTACGAAGGATTGTGTACTGCTAGCAAATATAAACAAACGCAAGTTTATGTTATGGAATCCAATGAAATGGTTCATTCAGGTTATGTATGACAAAATAGAAAAAAAAATTTCTTAAGCAATTTAGCAACATTACCTTCTTTCTGTAAATACATCTACACCCTCAAAAATATTCTTTGATTTTAATGCTTGAATGAAGATATTTACTTGAATAGTACATAAACAATAGTAGTAGGACATAAAATACTCGATTAATATGTTAGTACATCCAGTTTGTAATGTGCAACGAAAGCATTTCTAATTCGTCTATGAATTTTAGAATACATAAGAATATGAAATAGGAATAAATCATTAGAAATAATTATTTTTCAACTCAAATTGTTTAATTTTCTGTTTATTGCATTGTACATCGTCCTTCTTTATGCTTGATCGTCATATACTCACTTTTTTCTTGGTTTTATGGATGGAATTATTCTGCGCGTGTGTGTGTTTTATATTCTTGTTTATTAACTTTTTCATTACCTCCACAGTATAAGCTGCTTTATTATCTATTTGAATATATGAACGATTTATTTGCGCCTCAGTCTAAACGAAGAATAAATGTGGAAACTTCAGATTTTATCCGAGAGTTATGCGCACTGCAAAAGGTACATCAGATAGAAGACATAAAGTATCATTGAGAAATATCAATTTCTTTTCCAATATGCCGCGAGTGGCTTGTCCGATTAATCTCATCTTCGAACTCTAGCGAGATGTTGATGTATTGGTACACCATCGAAGATTCCCTCACACCCACCCTTCGTATTTTTATGACTATTGCATAAATAAAAGGATGGAATATACTGGCAAGTTCTAGTAATGCACTTATTTTTTCATTTTCCTATACTAGCAAGATGTTTCATACCTGTTCTCGGTAACATATTGTGGCTACTTCTGCTATATTCAGTCAAAACTCAGACTAAATTAAGGCAAGAGCTTTCTCTGAATGGATATCTACACTTTACACCACACAGCACACCCAGAGTGGTTCCTTAGCGCCAACGCATACAATGATGATGAGGGTGCAATTCATCCAAATCCATTGATTGACATACATCCTTGTGGTCTCTCTCTGTTTTGACCGTTCATGAAATCTACATCCGTCTTGCAAAATTTGATGATGGTAACTATAGTAGATTTGTAACTAGGAGATAAGTAATTTGAGTGAATTACGTTCTGATGTCCCAACGGATCCTTATCGTCTGGCTTCTCACTACATGTTGACGTTTTCTGTCACAAAGTCAGATGAAAAACTTTCGCCTGAGTCGTCCACGCTGGTTCGCCAGGGTGAGGGTGAGGGTGTGGGGTGGGTGTGAGTGTGAGGATTAAGGCGCACTAACACCCGCACTCACACCCTAAAAAATGGTAGAATATTTGTTATTGATGGCTTTTTGTTCAAATAACGCTGAATTGTATGATCCATTAACAGAAATCTAGACACTATTCGAGAATATGGCGAATGTACACAATAGTGAAGTGTTTATAAATGGTGGACGAGATGCGAGGTAGTGTTTTGAAGTGTCAAAATACATTACTATTCTAAAATAGATTGACCAGCCTTTATTGTATTCTTGATAGTAATGACTACAAGAAAAGCTCTTCTTCAAATCTTTTGGGCATGGATCATTATCGAAACAGGACTACCATAGACATCCTCACTCTCATCCTCAAACGGCTGAATTATTTGCAGAAGGCTATAAGTTTTGCATTTTGTTGAAAGAGAGAGACGCTACGACTCAGGCAGCTCATTTTCATAGAAAAAATTCTTGAATCATCGACCTTGAGAGATATCTTTATCCTTTCATTGAAAATTCTTTATCAGTTTGTGTGTTGAGAAAATTCTTTTATTTAACGATACACTTTAGCTTTTATCTCTTACTCCTACGAAAAAGGAAGTAGAATTCTTATTTAAACTGAGTTAAAGTTGTTGTTCGATACACACTAGAGAAATAAGAAGAAAGAGAAGTGAGAGTCATGTTTTCTTCAAACATCTTTGTCATTGTTGCTTTTATTGCTACGATCACGTACCTCAATGCAACAACGTACGTATGTGATAGGAGTCAAGGATGTGGCTGTTCAAAGTACGATACAACAACTGTGAACGCGCGTATCGTCAATGGTGAAGCAGCGGCGGCTGGTACTTGGGGCTGGGCTGCATCTCTCAAATTGAATTCAGACAATCCAAATTTCTGTGGTGGTACAGTAATTAATGAACGACATATCCTAACTGCTGCACACTGTATTGCTGACTTGGAGGAATACGGATTCAGTATTCGTGATATTGAAGTTCGTCTTGGTCTCATTGACATCCCAGATCCCGGTCCACATGTAGAAAGCTATAGCTTGCAAAGCGCCACAATTCATCCCGATTACAATACTCATGATATTGCAGCAGGCTATGATATAGCAGTACTGACACTAAGTCGACCCATTGATTTCAATCGAAACGAATTCATTTCAAAAGTATGCCTTCCGTTTCTTAACTCTACACCACCAGATGATTTAGCAAACCCAGAATATCCATTGCCGAACACGAATTTGATTGCAGTTGGTTGGGGTGTCAAACGTGAAGGTAGCCATATAACATCCGACATCCTTCAACAAGTGACACTACAGGCAGTTGATAAGAACGATTCGAAATGTCGCTATCCAGCAGATTTTCCGGTACCAGCACAACACAATAATCCACAGATACAAATGTGTGCTGCTGCTCCGGGCAAAGGTAAGTTATATTTTGCAAGCCTCCATCATCTCGAAATTACAGTACAAATTCGTAATTCTTCGTCCTTTAATTTCATAGATACATGCCAAGGTGATAGTGGTGGACCACTGCTAATGTTTCGACCAGATACAAAAGTTTGGGAATTAGTTGGTGTCACAAGCTTTGGAAAAGGTTGTGCGGAAGCATCGTACTCTGGCGTGTACACACGAGTTGCTGCCTATCTCGACTGGATTAAACAGAATGCACCAACACCTGCGCCGACTCAACCAACTACGCCTTATCACAGTGGCGCACAACCACTACGGACGTCTGATGGATTTATTATGACAGTGATGAGCATTTTCCTTTCTTTTTATTCTTAAAGTAATTCCAGTGATTTCGTTTTGGTAATAAACTGCAGTATGGAAGACCAAAGATGAATTAGTTATATATCAGCTTGTTTTAACTAGTGGCTGATGATGTACGTGATATTCTGAGAGCGTTTCAGAGTATAGGTACAAGTGAAACTAAATCTCTTCCTATTCCTATCCTTTTGTTTACTTTAAGACTGATATATATCTACTTATATTCGAGGGTGTGAGGGTATGGGTGACGACTTATGATATAAGTGGAATTAGACAACTCAAGATTTTTTCTGTCCTGGATAAACAGTTAATCGATTTAGCGATTTTACATTATGAGGATTAGTAACACAACATGACCGTTGCTTACCCTCTACAAGTCTTCTTTCCATTTCTGATGTGCACTAGATGTATATCCATGAGAAAGTCAAGTTTGAATCGAATGTTGTTCTGTCCGCTTCGCGTTTTTATATTCTATGCAATAGAGTTAAAATATATTACGTCTATTCTTTGGATATGAGCATACTTTTTTAGAAAAAAAGCAGTGTTTACCCTTTAGATTCACTAGCTATTTTGTGAAACACGATCTGTAAGAGAGTGTTGAAGTGTGAAGGGGCAGAAATTTGGATCTCCCTTTCCCCCACAGACGTTGCAGACAGGCCCAAAAACCGGTCAAATATGCTTATAAACAAGCCCACAGATCCTGTCACAAACTGTTACCGACAGGCCTTGACCGTTATTCACTGTTATCTGTAGAAGCGTGTTATGATCGGATCCTTCGATCAGATCATAATGGAAATTCCTTCAAAGGAATTATCCATGCTTTTCTCTGTTCTATACATATATATATATATATATACAGTTTCTTTCGTTCTGCTCATGACCTAGATGTGTTGTTCTTTTGGTCTTTTCCTAGTGATAGATAGGTCATGATGTCATTAAGTTAGGTATTTTTCCTTAGATCAGATCATAGGAAGATACCTATGAAGGCTTCTATATAACATGCGATGCAAAAGTCTTTGCACAAATGTCTGAGTGTATTAAATCACTTTGCGAACTTCTAAACTAGTTAAATGTTTTTTTGTTGGAAAGAGCAAAGTCTGAAGTTTAAGTTTTGTACAAAATATATTTTTCGTGATCGAATCTTAGAGGTAGAGAAAGTAGAAAACAGTACACCTCTAAAAAGGGTTTTGCAACATTTTTCGATCTTACAAGTTNCCTCCTTTATTATCCCACCAGACCCTCAGCATCAACTTCTTAGGATGTGGATCAGTCTTCGGTGTTGCTACGCCTGTTTGACCAGTGCTCAGCCACTGACGCCCACGCGTGTAATTAACTTACAACTCCCACTTCTCATTGCCAGTAATCAGCTTGGATAGCCATTGATAGTTGCGATGAGATGTGATGAAATTCATACATGTATCAACTCTCTGTTGCAGTTGATGTGATGATAATTCATGAGGTATTCATATTCCCTATTTCTAGGTCTTGCCTAATTCGTTCAGATGTTTTTCCACCGTAGTATGAGAACATTCAAGCTGCTCTGCTAAACACCGTAAAGTCAATAGAGGATCTTTTTCGATAAGCGGCTTTAAAAGATCCATATTCAGTTCCATGGGTCTGCCGGATCGAGGTAGATTGTCGAGCTCTAAATCCTCATTCTTGAAATGATTGAACCAACGTTGCGCGCTACGAGTGGAGACTAGACTCTGGCCCATTGTACTGCACATGTTGTTGGCTGCTTCCGTTGTTTTGTGGCCCAAACGAAATTCGTGAAGTAAAAGCACGCGAATCTCTTTATGAGAAAAATTTATTTTTGGTTCGACATCAACATCCATATCGATGATTTTTTTATCATTCGAAAGACATTCATGTCCTATATATATATATATTCTTAGTATGGAAACTTCTAGAACTTTCTAGGTTATTCTACAAGATTTTAGAAAAAAAACGCCAGAACTTTGTTGACAACCCAATATTTCTATGAAAATTACACTCTCACCATCAAATTATACTGTACGAGTATGCCATCTATAATGATTTACGCAAGTTATATACAATTATAGACAACCAATCAACGTTATTTAATTAGTTCGGTCTTTTATTGTCAATTCAATCGATTATTATATCTCTCCATTGAGAAATATGTTTGTGATTGCTGGTGAATTCCATCTTTTTATCACACGCAGTTGAGCACAATCATTTACAAAAAGACTAGCATCTAATTTCGTTCTCGGTTATATTATGTACTTTTTTAAAATGAAAGAAAATTGTTCTCATTTACGAGACAAATATAAATTATCAATTAATTTTTTACAAACAAAAGTACGAATATTAAAAATTGAAAGTTATACCTTAGCTTATGCTTATCGATATGAACAAACGCCGTGGTATGCTAAAGTACTAATTATTATTACGCTTGGTTATTTATTAAGTCCAATTGATCTAATACCTGATTGTATTCCGATTTTTGGTTATCTGGATGATCTGATCATTGTTCCACTTTTGATTATTTTATCAATCAAACTAATACCAAATGACATTTTAATTGAATGCCGACAAAAGGTTCAAGAACAACAGAATGCTGTAAGAAAACAGAAAAAAACTGCATTGTGGTTTGCTGTCTTGATTGTATTTTTCTATATAATAATGATTTACTTCATAACGCATTGGATAAAACTCAAATTCTTCGTATAAAAATATATTGTTCTATTATGAGCTTCTTCGAAACGATTCATTCATGGCTTATTTATTAATACTACAGATAAAATCTTATGTACAGTATTCGTTTGTATTAGTTTAGTGAGGACAGCTAGAGCATTAGTTGATGGCGACAGGTGATCCGATTAAAAATATAACTTATGGGATAAAAAAAAGTAAAGAACGAAAAAAGGTTTGCATGTGATATAGACACTGAGAAAAGCTTCATGTAATCAATATAGCATAGGATTTTTGCTTAATTTGAGTTATTTCATCATTAGTTTTTAAGTAACAGATTCCATTTTTCAAAAATAAAAATCAAATCAAAACTTCTCATGAAGGTAAAGTACGAAGGATTGTGTACTGCTAGAAAATATAAACAAACGCAGGTTTATGTTATGGAATCCAATGAAATGGTTCATACAGATTATGTATGACAAAACAAAAAAATATTTCTTAAGTAATTTAGCAACATTACCTTCTTTCTGTGAATACATCTACATCCTCAAAAATATTCTTTGATTGTAATGCTTGAATGAAGATATATACTTGAATAGAATATAAACAATAGTAGTAGAACATAAAACACTTGATTAATATTTTAATACACGCAGTTCGTAATATGCAGCAAAAGTATTTCTAATTCGTCTATAAATTTTAGAATACATAAGAATATGATATAGGAATAAATCATTAGGAATAATTATTTTTCAACTCAAATTGTTTAATTTTCTGTTTATTGCATTGTACATCGTCCTTCTTTATGTTTGATCGTCATATGCTCACTTTTTTTCTTGGTTTTATAGATGGAATCATTTTGTGTGTGTTTTATATTCTTGTTTATTAACTTTTTCATTACCTCTACAGTAGAAACTGCTTTGTTATCGAGTTGAATATGTGAACGATTTATTTGCGCTTCAGTCTAAACGAAGAATAAATTTGGAAACTTCCGATTATATCCGAGAGTTATGCGCACTGCAAAAAGTATATTAGATAGAAGACATAAAGAATCATAGAGAAATATCAATTTCTTTTTCAATAAGCCACATGTGGTTTGTCCCATTAGTCTCATCTGCGAACTGTAGCGAGATGTTGATGTATTGGTATACCATCGAAGATTTCATCTCAGTCACATTAGTATTTTTATGGCTATTGTATAAATAAAAGGATGGAATATACTGACAAGTTCTAGTAATGCACTCATGTTTTCATTTTCCTATACTAACAAGATGTTTCATACCTGTTCTCAGTAACATATTGTGGGTACTTCTGCTATATTCAGTCAAAACTCAGAGTAAATTAAGGCAAGAGCTTTCTCTGAATGAATATCTACACTTCACACCACACAGCACATCTAGAATGGTTTCCTTAGTGCCAACGGATGCAACGGTGATGAGGATGAAATTCATCCAAATCCATTGATTGACATACATCATTGCGGTCTCTCTCTGTTTTGATTTTTCATGAAATCTACATCCGTCTGGCAAAATTTGATGATGGTAACTATAATAGCGTTATAACTAGGAGACAAGCAATTTGAGTGAATTACACCCAGGTCTCCCAACGGATCCTTATCGTGTGGTTTTTCACCACATGTAGACGTTTTCTGTCACAAAGTCAGATGAAACACTTTCGCCTGAGTCGTCTACGCTGGTTCGCCAGGGTGAGGGTGAGGGTGTGGGGTGGGTGTGAGTGTGAGGATTAAGGCGCACTAACACCCGCATTCACACCCTAAAAAATGGTAGAATATTTGTTATTGATGGCTTTTTGTTCAAATAACGCTGAATTGTATGATCCATTAACAGAAATCTAGACACTATTCGAGAATATGGCGAATGTACACAATAGTGAAGTGTTTATAAATGGTGGACGAGATGCGAGGTAGTGTTTTGAAGTGTCAAAATACATTACTATTCTAAAATAGATTGACCAGCCTTTATTGTATNCTTAAAGTAATTCCAATGATTTCTTTTTATTCTTAAAGTAATTCCAATGATTTCTTTTTATTCTTAAAGTAATTCCAATGATTTCTTTTTATTCTTAAAGTAATTCCAATGATTTCTTTTTGGTAATAAACTGCAGTATGGAAGACCAAAGATAATTTAGTTATATATCAGCTTGTTTTAACTAATGACTGGTTATTTTATTGATCTTCTGTGAGTGGGAGAAAGTAGGGATACAACGGTGACGGTGGTTCACCGGTCCACCGTATCTACGGTGAAACAGTGGACCGGTAAGGAACGGTGGACGGTGAGACCGACGGGCAGTCACCGTCACCGTTGCATCCCTAGTAGTATTACAGTCGATCGGGCTCATCTTCGAACTCGTCTGTGACGTTGACAATATACTGCTATGTACTAAATTTCATGACAATGGGATCATTCTTTCAGGAGTTATCGGATTAACGGTCAGACGGACCTACTGACCCATTCTATAGTATACTCACTTTTTGAGTACACAAAAACCAGCATGCAAAGTTTGACGACCTTATCTGCCATAGAATCACTTGGATGATAACTCACCGACGCCAACCTTATCCATCTCCTTGCGGACTCCCTAACAATCCATCTACCCTTCCATATGCCCACAAAAGTAGTACGGAGGGTTTGGCGTGCAGTCTTGACACGAAATCGCTCGGGTGAAATTTCACCCAGGCCCCACCCATGTCGTCAACACCTATCGTCCTCACTAGTATGCGAACAGTCGTTTGATGCTTTCTAGACATATGGAAGCAGCATGCAAAGTTTCGCGGCGTTTTCAGTTATAAAAACACTTGGGTGAGATTGCACCCACACTATCCTTACCCCACCCTCATTACTAGTCTACTAACTCTATTTCAATGTTTCCCTACATTCACAGAAGCACTATGAAAGATGTCGTGACTTTTTCGCATGCAAAATCTCTTGGGTGAAATCCCACCCGGACCTCACTCAGGCCACCCAGACCTACCCCTTCACTGGCCAATCAGCATTTTTCTGGATCCAAAGGGACAGTACAGAAGGTTTCGTGGCCATAGCTGATACAAAAAGTGAATGCAAAGCGAACAAGCGGATAAACACGCAAATCTTCAAGTTTTTTTTATAGGAATTAGAGAAAACTTTATCAAAAGTCAGCAAGAGTACAGCCGATCAGGCTCATCTTCGAACTCGACCGAGGCATTTACAAAATAATGCTATGTATCAAATTCCATGAAAATTGGATTATTCTTTCAGGAGTTATCGGGTTAACGGCCGGACATACTGACCGATTCTATACTGTATTCACTTTTTGAGTACACAAAAACGAAGCGTTAGCTACAACCTTTTTTATTAAATAAGTTCTGTTGATGAAAATTATACCATTAGACTCAGAATTTAATTCTGCGCCGAATGGTGATGTTTCTACTTACGGGTCAAACTTTGGGAAAATGTTTACCTATATCTTCGTTTGCCTCCTATAGGTCTATTTACGATCCGAAGAAAAATTTTCCAAAGTTTATCCCGTAAGTAGAAGCGTCACCATTCGAGGCAGAATTAAGTTCTAAGTCGAATGGGATAATTTTCAGGGACGGATCTTATTTAATAAAAAGGTTTTAGCTAACACATCGTGCTTTCGTGCCAGTCTCGCATCGTTTATTAAAACGACGTCATTTCATATACGTCATCCGTATTTTTCTAAGATCTCATTTATATTAATATGATCTGATGATGACAAAACAAAATTTTCAATTTAAAAGTTATTAGAGAAAATGTTTTTAATCTTAAAGATAATATGACATGACCATATATCGTATAGTAACTATATAAACAATGAACTTTAAACAACATTTTCAATGATTTAAGAGAAAAAAAGTATGACTATCTCTCCATTCTTTCGTTTATGCTTATATTTAAGTTTATTAATTCCTTCATTATTCTGTTCACTATTCACATTGTATTATTATTTGTTCGATCGAATATTACGAAAAACATTAAGTAATCATGTACTTATTTTAATAACAACTTATTCTCTCATTTATAATCTAACAGATATTGTTTGGTTAATTGATTTTTATCGAAATGGTTATACATTATCATCATCACGAACATTTTGTTTAATTTGGACTTATATTGATTTTTCTGTGTTTGTTTCTGTTTCATATCTTGTTGCATGGGCATCGATTGAAAGACATCTTTTAATATTTCATCAAAATATAATCTCAACAAAAATAAAAACAATTATTTTTCATTATATTCCAATGTTTGGTTTTGGATTTTATCCATCAATTTATTATTTAATAATATTTGTCTTTATTCCATGTCCATTGTCAGTTAATATACAAAAAACGCGTTGTGGATTAACAAACTGTGGATATGGAAATGGTTTAACAACTCTATGGGATGGAATATTTAACAATATGATACCTGTTTTTAGTATAATAATATTTAGTTTTTTATTAATAATTCGTGTTTGGTATCAAAAATATCGAATGAGACAAAGATTTCAATGGAAAAAATATCGAAAAATGACAATACAATTATTATCAATTTCATTGATTTATTTAATATTTTTATTTCCACCAACAATTTTACTTTGCTTATATTCCTCTGGTTTATCATATTATGTCGGTGCTGATTTTTACTCAGCAAGCTTATATTTATCTTATGTAATAACACTTCTGCTTCCAATTGTTTCAACATTTTCATTACCTGAAGTACGAACGAAATTTTTCAAGCTAACTCAACTCTCACAACCATTCAAACGTAGTATTGTTCCACAAACGATAACAGTTCAACCTGTACCATTTAGCCGAACTATTCCAAATCGTACCACAAGAACATGAGATTTTGTTTCCTTCATCAAATCTGACAGTTCAAATCAAAGACTAATTTAAATTGACGTTGTCTAAAGCTGTGAATGTATGACAAGGCTTCCCTTCCTTCGTTCCTTTCTCATCTAATATGATCGTAGGTGTTTTCAAGTGCAGTTCATTTAAACAATGCTCTATTGTTGTAGTACTAAAAAGAATAAATGTCGTGAAAAAAATCATTTCCATTTCAAGAGCTACCATAATAACTTTTTAAGATAGGATACACATAAATATCTTGCATAAATAATGATCTACTCTTACTAATCATTGTAAATGTCGCCAATAGAGTTTTATCGGAGCTTTATAATTAATTTAATATTTTATAAAAATACTTCTTTCTACTTGAATCGAAGCATCAGTGTAAGAGATTCATCCTCCAATGTGAGATATGATTTTACTGGATAACATCGAACGGAAAAATATCAAAAGCAAAGATGTCAAAAATAGGCAATGTTGAAAACACAAATGGCGCACATGTCGAAAGACAAATATAGTGAAAACAGTATAGTTTAAAACTAAAAATCTTTCTCATCCTCGCTCTCACTCTTACATTCTCATTTTGGCTTTCGACATTCTTACTTTTCGACCAAAACCAGGTTAACCGTCAAAACCGTTTCCAATAATCACCTAATATGTGCACAAATCAAAAATTGAATGTAATCTTGAGACACTTCAACCAAAACTTATCCCAATACCAATAATAGAACAAACATTTCAGGTTGATATTTCTCCGAAACTCAAGAACAAGTCAAAAACAAATAGGAAGACAATGTTATCGATTAGGCAACGCACACTACCTGTTGCAAACACCTATTCTATTACAACCCACGAGAATCAGAAACGAACTTTAAGTAAAGTTGTAATTGATTTGAAATTACCGTAGGATACATATGACATAATACTGTAGTCTATTTACCATTACCAAGAGTGAAGGTTTTGACTGATTTAATTATTTTACGACACTTTAATTACAAAGTCTTACTGATTAAGACCAGCAAATCTCAAGCCGCCCAGATGTAGAGATTAGACAAGCTCTTCATGGAAACATAGATGCGTTTTTCAAAATGGTTTTGATAGATATGATAGAAAACACAAAATCTCTATTGCTCATCATCCATTTTGCGCATCTGATTCATTTTCATCTCTCATGACTGTACGAACCTTTTGTACAATAAAAACTTTTTCCATTCATTGACTGTTTTTCTAATGTCAGTGCGAATTTTTCTTTTCAAGTTTACTGTAGGGTGCTATCTTTTTCTTTCACTTTTCTTCTTCCTACTCGTTTGTAGTCAATATTCACTTGTTTAAATTTTAATTAAAACTATACAGAATTATTTCTTTTTTTTTCGTGCAGCCGGTCATTATATCATACTTGTATCTTAATTTCATTGAGTGACAAATAAATAAACGACATATTGGAAAGCGTATTGTCTTCAGTGTAAGAATAGCAAATTGATTATATATTGAGCTTTTCGATCGAGGATAATGTGAGTCACTCTCAACAAGCGTTATTTATGTTTCGTTACTACCCTATTGTTAGTGAAGAAAAAGAAAATTATCTTAAAAAATAATCACAAGAAAGAAACCCCTCCTGTTTGCCAAATTCAACTTGCGTTATTGAAATGTGGAATCATAAAGAGGGTATTTACAAAGATCTTTTTCGATACACTTGTAAAATATGAAATTCTATAGCCTGTTTATTTAATTGAAACTGACGAGGAAGAAGATCAAAAAGAACATTTCATATCTACAATAAATAATTAACAAAAGAAAACAACTTTTCAATCAAGAAATGGTCCTTTTCTTTTTTCTGACGAATTCCCAGTCAAAATGGAAATAAAATGCACAACTTGTAGCCGTAGAAAAATAAGAAAGAAGATGATCAAAGCAATTGTGTCCTCCTTCTGGTTTATTATTCAATGTTGACAGAAATCTCTATGTTGCAGATAGTTGGAATCATCAAACTCAATGATTTTATTTAATTATTCAATAAAAGCTTTTTTGAATGTCTTTTGAAATCTTCATCAAATTTAGTAGCAAGTCGGATAATTCTTATACGAACATATAATTATAAACAAATAAGAACTACTGAATTTATTAGAATAGATACACAAATGAATTACAGACAACATCGAATTACTTTTCAAATTAGTCCTCTTGGGTAGGACATGTACAAAAAGAAAGTAGTTGAAATTTAAAAATCAGTTCTTCGACTTTGTAAAGGTACTGTTTGTGAATGAAGTTGATTCGATTTTGTAAAACAAATAAGATTTTTAACATTTCGTCTGAAAGTGCTTGACATAATTATATAAATATAAAATGTTCCGGCATATAATAGAAAACTAAATAGAACACAAACATTTCTCCAAACACCTTCTTGTGCTACTCTTAAATTTGACTTAACCATTGATTGAGTAATTTGTGTGTAAATATTAAATACAAAATTTGGTGTTGCACCAACAAATATAACACTAAATTCAACAATCATCATTAAATTAACTTGACGATGAAGTCGACTATGCTGAACATTTCGTGCTGAATAAAGATTATACCATGTAAGTATAGAAAAAATACCTAAAATCACCATCGGTATACAACTACACATAACTAAATTAAAATAGTTAAGAAATTGTGCATATAATGCTCGGTCACTATTTGATGCTGTACATCCATTTCCTGAATAATAAATTCCATCAGGAATGAAGATAATAAAATACATTAAACTAATTGTAATTGTAACAATTGCAGCTCGTTTGAATGTCATTAAACGTCGATAACGTTCATGACGTGAAGTATTTAGAAATCGATCAATACATGATAAACAAATGTATATGTATGACATATAGAAACTCCAACGTCCAAATAGCCAACGAATTTTGCAATAAACTATATTGCCAACTAATGGATCAATACCAGTAATAGTGAGCATACTACGCGGAAAGCGAGATGTCCACAAAGATGTTAAATTGCTGGTAAAAAACATAATCAAGAAAATACAATTTGACATTTGACGAAGTGTTTTATTTCGAAGGAAAACAAGAGTATTTACTAGATTTCCTATTGTACCAATGATAATGAAAATCATTATACCATAACCATCGAGAAATTTAGCAATTGATTGAAGACGAAGGATTTCATTGCTATCATTTGAACTTGACATCGTTTAGATTCAAAAACAAATTTTGACTTAGATTCACTTTTTTCTAACGATATGAATGACACATAGATTCTTCATTTTCATTATTATATATAATGGTCGGTTATTCCATTATGTTATAAACTGCTAGATGGAAATTACGACTATGTGTCAGATTAAAATATTACAAACGTCATCAAGAGATTATTATCACCTGTGAGCACTATGAAACAAATCACGTAAAAACTCGAATATTTCATTTTAATAAAATTAATGTCATCAAGGTCTGGAAGGTAGATGTGGGTGTTTGTTTGATCTTCATTTTCACATACATATTCATTATTAAAAGAAATGTTTATTTGACCGATTCATGGAGTGCACTTTTTATGTTAATAATAAAGTCTTAATTTAAAAATCTAATAAAGTGGCGTTTTTCCCTTGACTGAAAGGAGGGTTATATAAAAAAAACACTTTTCGAAAATGCTCAGAACTTCATAAAACATGGTTTGGAAGGGATTTTGAGACTTGTGATTGGCTGAGAGGATTAGACCAAGAGAACACTGAACTGGTTGGAGCGAACAGGGTGCGCTTGAATGGTCTGAGCTCCCTAAACAGAAAATTCTGATGTCGCCTTTACATTGAACCATAGTGTTAGAGATAGGAGAAAGATAGTTTCCCTGCCTGCAAAGAGGGTGATACGAAAAAAGATGGATTGGGTAAGGTGAGTTGCAATGGTGCTAATTGAATCGCTGATATTCAAGGAGTTATGGTCAAGATGTGCAAAGATTAAATACAAAACTTCTGCACCTTCCGTGATCGCTCAATCAAGCAGCAAGTCTAGAAACTCGATTCATCATCGGTAAATCTATCGAACCGACATTTTACATCCTGAACTTATACATAATCAACAGGTCCTAATGAAATGGATTACTAGTCTGATAATCATATGCGTTAATCACAGTAGTATTGTGATTCGTTAAATCTTTGTTCAATGATAGATCAGATCCTTTTTTAGAATATACATTATCTGTCTCTCCGACTTCCAACTCACAAGATAATATACCCTGCTATGCCTGTGCTTAGCCATTTGAAATCCCTGAATGTTTTCACTCGTAATAATAATATTAACATACAAAACCAACTACAAATCTTGTTCGATTTTACACCATGCCTGTATGCACTGCGAGTTACTCGTGAAACTCTAAATGTTCTTGAGAAAATAGTAATAAAAACTGTCAGTTCTTCTGTACGCCGACTTGATGTACAAGAATATACCAATACTGAACATGGGAATTGGTTCAATAGTCAACAGTATGCAACATTATAGAAAACTTCATTTGAAAGGTAATGTACGTACAATACTTCGAATTAACATTGAGAATCCAATGAACGCAGTTGATTTACGCGGCAACTTCTCTAGGTTTTTAAGTCACCGAGGTCTCATCTTTTGACTATAGCTAGATCTAAATGAGGTATGAAAAAGTTCAAGAGAATTCGTACGCTCGCGCCTTCACTTCCGCGAGATTGCATTTTCAAGATTTATACGAAAAGAAGCCGTATCATATGAAAGTGCGACACATATTGTCGCATATGAAGTGTATTAGATCACCGGACGAAAAACGTCGGCAGAAAGTTGATGATGAGTGAGAGATATAGGACGTACGAGGTTGTCGCGTTCGCTAATATTGATGTCAAGATCGTCGAGCAGCACGTGATCGTATAACCGATGAGGAATTACTTTCATCTGTCTGTTAGAAAAGACATCGAACGGCTGAATTCGATCCGTAGTTTCATTCGGTATTTCAAGTCTTGTGTATCCAAAAATATGATTATGCGACCCCTTTTCATATGTCTGGCCTACCCAACAGTCCGATGTAAGTAGAAAATTTTTGCGACGATCAAGTGATGGAAGAAGGACATGATTACGTCAATACGCAACTAGAGATGTCGTGAGCTTTCCAGCGAGCTTCCACAGGTATTGATCACATTGAACGCTTTGAAAAGATGCAAGTGAGTATTATCGCTCATGTGTCCTTTCGACTCGTTCAAGCAAAGCTAAATTCGCGCGAGGAGATAACCATCGAGTGCGAGTAGTGGTGTTTATAGAACGAACAGATCCAATTGTAACTATCTCTTCTCGATGACTTGATGTTCAAGTAGAGTTTAATTTTAACTGTAGTCCACTTTGTTCTGTGTTAATGAATTCGCTCGTTTCGTACTGGTGCAAATGCTTGCGAACATCAATTATGAATTGATCGGACAAAGCTCTGATTGCCGATTTGTCACAACCTATAACGAGTAAATACAGCAAGTTTGATCTCAATTGGTGTTAAAGAGGTGAACTATTCTCGAGGCTTTCAAAGTCTATAACTCGTGAACGGCTTTTCTGCTTTCATCTAATTTTTAGGATAGAGCTATTTCTTACACGTTACTAAAAGCTGATAACACAGAATAATGACAAAAGCGAGCAAGACAGGTTTAATGTGTAATACGTCGGAAATGAATTTTCACTGTCTCCCATAATCTCCTTCGTTTTTTTAGTTTTTGTATTGATCTTGTCATACTAATTGACTATCTTAGTCATAAATTCGATGGAATTTGTCTACATAATGTCTTTTCTTCATCTTCGTCGTCCCAGTTGGGAACAATGTTTCTTAATCTGTATTTTCGTACTAGATATCATTGAGATATTCTTTATCGGCCAACCCATGGTCAAGGTTTGTTTCAACGTCGATGGTGCGGGAATGACTGTTAGTGGTTGATTTCAGGACACTGTACAACAAGTCGGCTACTTCTCATTCATGATTTGTGATGGTGGCGGCGGTAGTCGCATTGTTCGACAGGGTAGAAGACAATAAGTTTGATGCTCGACGGACAAAAAGTTTTCACGACGTTTCCTATGTTGGCCATTATATAGCAGACGTGAGGAAAACTGAATAGTGACTGTTTTTTTATTGATTCGTCTGTATATTGTATGTCATCCAAACAAGAGGATACCATATTTATTAACCAAACATATTGGTATGCTCGCAAAGTAAATGAAAAAATGATAGACAATGTACTGTTTGTTCTCAACAATCCTTTTTCGTTTTTGTGTAAAACAAAATCAGATATAGAACGAAGAATTTTTTATGTGCCACAAGCTGATGAACAGCCTATAGAAGAGATACCCATTACTTACGATCTAGCTCTTAATTCAGAATAGATTAGACAAACTATGTACGAAACTTTGAACAATTTCCAGTTGAATACTGTACTATTCTCTGAAAACGATCAGTTTTCGTTTCCGGCTCCTTTTCGTATAAATCTTGAAAATGCAATCTCTCAGAAGTCAAGACGCGAGCGTACGAATTCTCTTGAACTTTTTCATACCTTATTTAGATCTAGCTATAGTCAAAAGATGAGACCTTAAGGGCAAGGGCGTAAACACCTGAGAAAGTTCCTGCGTCAATAGTCACTCAAAAACTCTGAAATCGAATTCTTTGACCGAACAGAATGGCCACGCAGTTTTCCAAGCTTTCATATGACGAAAAATGTTGGATCAATTCTAGTGTGGACATAGTGAAAAATCTGATAATCAGCGAACGCGATACTAATCGAAATTCGTCAGTCATTTTGTTGGAATACTCTCAAAATATTCTTCATGAACTTGAAGATGAAAAAGAACTTTTCGAACGTCTATAGAAGTCGTATTCTCAGCGATCGAAACCTTTACATGAAGCCAATGACCATCATACTATAGATTGATCTATCATTAGCAACTGAGCGATATTTACTTCATACTTTATTTTCTTCGCAGGAAAGTAGCCACAATCTTGTGTATCTACTAGGTTGGGGGAAAAGTTCGTGCGCCGTGTCAAAATAATGATTTCTTATGCAAGAATTTATTCAAAAACAACAACAACTATTCTTCAAAATAGAGACCATCATTGTCAACGACCTTCTGCCAACGATCTGCAAACTTTCAAATTTGGTCAAAGTGCCATTCCTTCGACTTTGAACCGAAAAATTCTTCACATGCTTCTTCAACTTCATCGAATGACTCAAATCGGCGACCTTTCATAAAGTGCTGCATTGATCGGAAGAGGCCGTAGTCAGATGGAGCAACGTCGGGACTATACGGTGGATGCGGCAGAACTTCGACACCGTCCAACTCTTCNAATTCCTTCATTATTCTGTTCATTATTTACATTGTATTATTATTTATTCGATCGAATATTACGAAAAACATTAAGTAATCATGTACTTATTTTAATAACAATTTATTCTCTTATTTACAATCTAACAGATATTGTTTGGTTAATTGATTTTTATCGAAATGGTTATACATTATCATCGTCACGAACATTTTGTTTAATTTGGACTTATATTGATTTCTCTGTGTTTGTTTCTGTTTCATATCTTGTTGCATGGGCATCGATTGAAAGACATCTTTTAATATTTCATCAAAATATAATCTCAACAAAAATAAAAAGAATTCTTTTTCATTATATTCCAATGTTTGGTTTTGGATTTTATCCATCAATTTATTATTTAATGATATTTGTCTTTATTCCATGTCCATTGTCAATTAATATACAAAAAACGCGTTGCGGGCTAACAAACTGTGGATATGGAAATGGTTTAACAACTCTATGGGATGGAATATTTAACAATATAATACCTGTTTTTAGTATAATAATATTTAGTTTTTTATTAATAATTCGTGTTTGGTATCAAAAATATCGAATGAGGCAAAGATTTCAATGGAAAAAGTATCGAAAAATGACAATACAGTTATTATCGATTTCATTGATCTATTTAATATTTTTATTTCCACCAACAATTTTACTTTGCTTATATTCCTCTGGTTTATCATATTATGTCGGTGCGGACTTTTACTCAGCAAGTTTATATTTATCCTATGTAATAACACTTCTTCTCCCAATTGTTTCAACATTTTCATTACCTGAAGTACGAAAGAAATTATTCAAACTAACTCAACTCTCGCAACAATTCAAACGTAGTATTGTTCCACAAATGGTAACAATTCAACCTGTACCATTTAGCCGAACGATTCCAAATCGTACAACAAAAACATGAGATTTTGTTTCCTTCATCAAATCTGACAGTTCACATCAAAGACTAATTTAAATTGCCGTTGTCTAAAGTTGTAGATATATGACAAGGTTTCCCTTCCTTCGTTCCTTCCTCATCTAATATGATCGTAAGTTTTTTCAAGTGCAGTTCAATTAAACAATGCTCTATTGTTTTATTACTTGAAAGAATAAATGTTGGAGAAAGATGATTTTCATTTCAACAGCTATCATAATAACTTTTTAAAATAGGATATACATAAATATCTTTCATAAATAGTGATCTACTTTTACTGATCATTGTAAACGTCGTCAAGAGAGTTTTATTAGAACTTTATAAATTATTTAATATTTAATAAAGATACTTCTTTCTACTTGAATCGAAGCATCAGTGTAAGAGATTCATCCTCCAATGTGAGATATGATTTTACTGGATAACATCGAACGGAAAAATATCAAAAGCAAAGATGTCAAAAGTAGACAATTTTGAAAGCACAAATGGCGCACATGTCTAAAGACAAATATGGTGAAAACAGTATAGTTTAAAACTAAAAATCTTTCTCATCCTCGCCCTCACACTTACATTCTCATTTTGGCTTTCGACATTCTTACTNTCATTGAGTGACAAATAAATAAACGACATATTGGAAAGCATATTGTCTTCAGTGTAAGAATAGCAAATTGATTATATATTGAGCTTTTCGATCGAGGATAATGTGAGTCACTCTCAACAAGCGTTATTTATGTTTCGTTACTACCCTATTATTAGTGAAGAAAAAGAAAATTATCTTAAAAATAATCACAAGAAAGAAACCCCTCCTGTTTGCCAAATTCAACTTGCTTTATTGAAATGTGGAATCATAAAAGGATATTTACGAAGATTTTTGTCGGTACATTTGTAAAATATGAAATTCTATAGCTTGTTCATTTAATTAAAACTGATGAGGAACAAGATCAAAAAGAACATTTTATATCTACAATAAATAATTTACGAACGAAAACAACTTTCAAATCAAGAAATGGTCCTTTTCTTTTTTTTGACGAATTTCAAGTCAAAATGGAAATAAAATGCACAACTTGTAGCCGCAGGAAATTAAAAGAAGAAGATGATCAAAGCAATTGGGTCCTCCCTCTGGTCTATTATTCAATGTTGAAAGAAATCTCTATGTTGCAGATAGTTGGAATCATCAAACTCAACGGTTTTATTTAATTATTGAATAAAACCTTTTTTGAATGTATTTTTTCTTTCGAAATTCAAAAAGTAGAAAATCGAAATCTTCATCAAATTTAGTGGCAAGTCTGATGATTCATATACGAACATATAATTATAAACAAACTAGAGGGAGTACCCGCTGTGAATAAGAAATATCTATTCCGAACATCTCACGTGTTGAAGAGCTATAACAGATAGAAAATCAGTATAATTAAATTTCTACGCTTCCAGCCCTTATATTCCCGCCGTGCGTCGCATAAAATGGCAGTTTCGGCTATATTTTTTATGCAAGAGTTACCGCAGCTAATTTCTGCCTCAGAAATTATGAAAATTTCCTCTTTCTCTGATATTCATCGACCTCTATCCCTCTCTCACGTCATTTCATACTTTAAATCCTTCGAATTCCCGCACTCTCAACATTTATCTTAATCTTTTGAGATCCTGTAACGCTATTGGTGAGTTTCGTAGATGATCTGTAGGAAACGCCTCGTTTATTTGTTTTCGGAAAAAAGTAGATGCCAACCTTTCTCTGGACTCATGGAAGCATCGTGGAAAGCTTCATGCCGATAGCTATTACAGGTACTGAATGCGTAGCGTACAAACAGACAGACAAACTTTCTTCTTTATATATATATAGATAGATAAAAACTAATGAATTTATTAGAATAAATACATAAATGAATTACAGACAACATCAAATTACTTTTCACACTAGCCTTCTTAACTAGAATATGCACAAAAATAAAGTAATTAAAATTCAAAAATCAGTTCTTCGACTTTGTAAAGGTACTGTTTGTGAATGAAGTTGATTCGATCTTGTAAAACAAATAAGATTTTTAACGTTTCGTCTGAAAGTACTTGACATAATTATATAAATATAAAATGTTCCGGCATACAATAGAAAACTAAATAGAACACAAACATTCCTCCAAACGCCCTCTTGTGCTACTCTTAAATTTGATTTAACCATTGATTGAGTAATTTGTGTGTAAATATTAAATACAAAATTTGGTGTTGCACCAACAAATATGACGCTAAATTCAACAATCATCATTAAATTAACTTGACGATGAAGTCGACTATGCTGAACGTTTCGTGCTGAATAAAGATTATACCATGTAAGTATAGAAAAGATACCTAAAATCACCATCGGCACACAACTGCACATAACTAAATTAAAATAGTTAAGAAACTGTGCATATAGTGCCCGGTCATTATTTGATGCTGTACATCCATTTCCTGAATAATAAATGCCATCAGGAATGAAGATAATAAAATATATTAAACTAATTGT